GTTGCATCGATTACTCCTCCTCAAGCTCGGCGGGCTGTAGACCAATTTTCAGGCGCATCTTTTCTATCTTGACGCGAGCCAATGGTTTTGTTAGACCATCGGCAACCATTTGTTCCCTGGGGCAATAGCGAACGTTCATCACACTATTGTTGACCAACTCCTTCACAAAATTATAGCGATTGTCGATGTGCTTTGTTCGGTTGCTACTGCCGCCAGATTTCAGCATCGCAAAACAGCTTTGATTGTCTTCGTGTACAACTACAGAAGCCAGAATTGGTTCTCCGACGTCCTTCAGTAGCTTCATCAGCCACATTAGCTCGCGGCTGGCTTCGGAAAGCGCCACGTACTCCACTTACGCATGGTTGTTTTCGGGCTACCCAACTGATTGGTCCTCCAAGACAGAAGACGAAACCGGTTTTTGATTTCCGGTCTGTCTTGTTACCAGTCCAGTCTGCATCGACGTATGCTTCCAGCGGTCCGGATGAACCCAGACGTAGGCTCCAACCCACTGTTGACTGGAGATACCGGAGCGTCCGTTTTGCTTCGGTCCTGTCTGCTTCCGTTGGTCGACTCACCTTGCGGCCCAGAATTGAGGCGCTTATGGCGATGTCCGGTCTCGTGTTGACCGCGATGTATAGAAGAGCACCCACCAGGCTCTGGAACTCGTCGTTTCTGGGCATGGGCTCCTCCTCCTTCTGCTGTACATTCGGGTACCCGGGATCCATCGGTATCGGCGAGCGCTTCGCTTTTGATTGTCCGAACCGTTCGGCTACCATCTGGATGTAGGTTTGTTGGTTCAGGAAAAACTGTCCGCCGGATCTTGTCACTCGGATTCCCAAATAGTGTCGCACGTCTCCAAGGCACGTTATGGTAAAGTGCTCCGCTAAATGCTTCCGGACGGCTTCGTATTCCGCTTCTGTGTTAGTGACAATCAGCATGTCGTCCACATTAGAAACACTGAAATAAGAGACCAGCGGAGAAAAAAACATGAATTTGGCAACAAGATAAACATCACAGCAATCCTGGTATCACTTGCATTTGTAACTGCTTGCGAGTGACTTCGCCAATGCACCGACGAGCGAGTTCATGAGTGATTGTTAAACGATTTTAATACTCCTCCCTTATTGAAGCAAACCATTTGTAAACATTGCAGATTGGAACCGATTTTGACAGTTCGATTGGAACCATAACAGTGTCTCCACTGGTCTCTTATTCCAGTGTTTCTAGTCCACAGATAGTAATATGAACGTCTTCTTCTTCCAGGTTTTTACGAAACAGGCATGGGTCTGCTTCAGATGGCACGTAGCCCAGCTGCTTCAAGACTTCGGTGATTTTTTTCATTCCACACCCTTCCAGCCTGCTTCAGACCGTAGAGACTTTTTCGTAGATGCAGAACGTTGTCCTTGACCCCGTTATGGAATCCTACCGGCTGCTTCTAGAAAATGGTCTCCTCCAGCTCTCCGTACGCCGTCTTCACGTCGACTTGATTCACCAGCATTCCTCGTCTGGCGGCGACACTCAGCAGGGTCCGAAAAGTGGTTTACGCGGCGACTGGCGCAAAGACCTCATGGTAGTCGGTTCCGTATTTTTGATTGAATCCTTGCGCTACCAGCCTGTTTAACACAGTGGATCAGGTTTCCACCCTCGTCCATCTTCTTTGTGAATACCCATTTGCTGCCAATAGCCTTCTTGTTTGGCGGCAAACGGACGACATCCCATGTGGAATTCTCTTCATGCACCTTCAGCTCTTCCTCCATGGCTAGCCATTGCTACTTCGAATGTGCGTGGCTCGTCGACATATTGCGCTGCTATGCGCACGGTGTATTGGTACCGTTCTGGCGGGATGCCCTTTGTGGTACGCTCCGATCGTCGGACTACTGGTACATCAACTTCGCCGACGACGTCTTGCTCCTCCTGATAGTCGGATGTCTCAAGCTCCTCCTGCGCTTCTGTTTCCACAAACGTCTCCTCATTGGCATCGTCGTAGCTGGTCTCAAACCCGAGTAGATCGGACTCATCCGATACGTCCACGCTCTCGTCCTCGTCGAACCCGAGTAGATCGAACACATCCGATTTGTCCTCGCTCTCGTCCACGTTTGCTTGAATAACGGGGACCTCAGCTTTCGGTTGCTCTACACACTTAATCTAGCTCGGTGAAATCTCCAACAGCCGATTACCTCGGCATTTACTTTTGCTGATATCTCTGCAAAATATCTGTTTGTTAGCTGATATCTCAGCAAATAGTTATTTGTTAGCTGAGTCTCGGCAATTGTTTTACTGAATCTCGGCAAAATAAATTGCAGAACTACTCGGCTGTTGAAATCTCGTCGAAAAAATTTAAGTGTGTAGGAGTCTAAATGGATAATCAACGATACTTCCCTTCTGAGGTTCGGCACTCCGAACCTCGTCCAATGGCAGGAACCTGCTGTCCCGACTGACGGTCAGCTTGTCGTTGTTCGGGTCCATGAATCGGCCTTGTGTTGGGAGGAATAACCAACGAGCAGCAACTTCCGAGATTTCGCTTCTAATTTGCTTCTCTTCTCTCCAGGGATCCACACGTACGCCGGTGAACCGAACACCTGAAGGTGACTCATGTCCGGCTTCGTGCCATACCACAGCTCGTACGGCGTTTTTTTCAACGGCTTCGTCGGCAAACGGTTCTGTAGATAGTTCCCAGTGTTAACCGCTTCCGCCCAGTATTTCAACGGCATTCGGGAGTCCAGTAGCATGCAGCGCGCCATTTCCACCAGTGAGCGGTTCTTCCGCTCCGCAACCCCGTTCTGCTGCGGAGTGTAGGCGGTGGTAAATTGCTGACGTATCCTCTGCACTCGGCAGGACGCATCCAACACGTCACTCCGAAATTCAACTCCCTGGTCGGAACGGATGATCTTCGGGGTTTTTCCAAATTCCGTCTGGGCGAACTTGACATACTCTTGAATACGCTGGGAAACCTCGGACTTCTGCTTTAGGAAATATACAACGGTAAACCGGGTGAAGTCGTCAATCATGGTGAGAAAATAACGACACCCACCGGGTGTCACGGTTCGCATGGGTCCACACATATCGGTGTGAATAAGGTCCAATGGTTGCTTAGACTTTGGCTTCGACTTCTTGGGGAACGTAAGACGTGTCAGCTTGCACTCAAGACAGCATTTCACAGACGACTCGGCACTCTTCCATCTCGATTCCAGTTGCCATACCCTTGCAGCTCACGGACGGCTTCATCGTCCCGATGCCCCAACACACGGTGCCAAGTGTGCTGACAGTTTGACGTATGGTGCTTCACGGTCAGTGCTTCCTGGGGTACCTTCAGGGAGTACAGTCCCCCAGAAATCGTTGCTGCCGCAATTACCTTCTTGTCCTTCAAGATTCGACATCCGTTGACGTCGAAAATGACCGTAGCTCCGTTTGCCGTCAGCTTCTTCACGGAAACCAAGCTCGATTCGAAATTCGGTACCAGCAGCACCTCCTTGAGGGATACTATTGATGGCTCACCCTCCGGAGACAACATGGTTACCTGGCATGAACCGATGCCTTCGTTTGAGAATCGACACTTTGGACGTCAGTGTTGCCTTCTCGTAATGTCCTCGCAGCTTCTCCCAGGTCACTTTCGCCGTTTTGCAGTCCTTGATTAGGTTTAGCTGGTTATCCTCTAGCAGGAGGCCGATCGTCGCCCGCGCCTTCTGGTCACCGCTGTTCCACGCTGCCCTGGTAGCTTCAGTGGCTGGATTGGCCATGGTGTCCACCGGTCCGTCACCGGTAATTTACTGCCACAGGTCTTCATTAATTAGCAGGAACTCAACCTTGGTTTTCCAGACGCTGTAGTTCGCTCCGTTGAGTTTCATTATTCCCAATCTCTCCATCGTGAAATTTTTTTCAGATTTTTCTTTTTTTTTCCGGTGATATGGTAACGTCCTCTCTAGCAATGGCCCATAACCTCTTAGAGGAGGGAGTTAATACGACCGGTTGGGTTGAAACATGAGACTAAACCACCGACAAACCGACATGAAACTAAAACTTTACTCTTGATCGAGAATCCATAACGGCGGATTCAAATGTGCAGCGATCCCATCTGTAAAAACCATACAAATTTGTTATCTAAATAAAAATAATTTGCCCGGAATAGATTAGACACGAACCAACTCTACATTTAGTATGTGTGTTCGTGGCTAGGATACACATTTTTCGCGAACACGGCGGCAGATGTCAGTTTTGTGCTTTGATCAGAAATTTGATGATACCACAGACAAACAGACGTAACTCTTTGAAAAACTTGTTCTTGAAATAATAGTATCTCAAAACATATAACCTCAGTAACGACATCTCTCGGGCTTCTTGCGGAAAACAAGCTTGCTCGCTAACTCGTGAGCAATATTGCATAAAAGTTCTATAGAATATATATAAACGTCAAAGTGATCCGATGCCAGCGCTGCGGCGCGTAGTTCGCGGAACTGATAATAATCAAATCAACCGTTAAATGCATGAACGAAGATACACAATGAAAAGTTACGTCTGTTTGTCTGTGCTGATACTTTGTATGATCATTCATGTCGGTTTTTCGGTGACTAAACTATACTTTATTGATGCAGTACTGACATTTATAGCATACTACACGGCGAATGAGAACGACCCAAATTTGAGCTTAGTTCACTCATAATCGCCAAAAGTGCAGGACCTCAGCTATGAGTAAAATTTGACTCAAATTTGGGTCGTTCTCATTCGCCGTGTAGGATTATTATAATTTCACCGAGTTGCTTCGATCTCCTTCATACTCATGATCGAAAGCTTGCCCCAAGCAATATTCAATATATTTCATGAAATGTATCTTAATTTTACATTAGATATCTAATGTAAATTTGTATGGTTAATAACGCTCCATTTATGTGCATCATGTTTCCCAGAAATTCAAACTACTTTGTCGAATTGGGTATATTAGTACTGCAGTCTTGCCACTAGTTCATAATGAAATCACTAAAACATCCTGTTTCCATCCCCCGCAGACGGCTGGACAACCGCTGACTTGGTGTTCCTGTGGAAGGAAGGCGATCCGGTGCAAGTGGTGAAGAACTTACACCTACCACGCTTTACATTGGAGAAGTTCTTAACAGATTACTGTAACAGTAAAACCAACACCGGTAAGAACACCCCCATGGCGGCAAGCTAGTTTCTCGATTAAGCTTCATTCTTTTCTCTCCTTCAGGTGAATACAGTTGTCTCAAAGTGGATCTTCTCTTCAAGCGAGAGTTCTCGTACTACCTGATCCAGATCTACATTCCCTGCTGCATGTTGGTCATCGTGTCCTGGGTGTCCTTCTGGCTCGATCAAGGTGCCGTACCGGCGCGCGTTTCACTCGGCGTCACCACACTGCTCACCATGGCAACGCAGACATCCGGCATCAACGCATCGCTTCCGCCCGTGTCCTACACCAAGGCCATCGACGTGTGGACCGGCGTCTGCCTGACGTTCGTCTTCGGTGCCCTGCTGGAGTTTGCTCTGGTAAACTACGCATCCCGTTCAGGTTGGTACGCGGTCCCATGACTGTAATGATAACTGTCGTTATTATCTTTGAAGTTAACATTTACCGTAGATGCTAGTTCGTAGGCAAACTCTAATAACTATATAATACTGACTTCACCTGCAATTTTCGGTTTCTGTTTATTTCTTTTCCCTTCATTTCACATCATCATTCACACCGCTCGCTTAACCGAATTACCCCCTTGAACAACAATCCGGACCTCGTACAAAAAACAATCCGCGGTGTACCGTAAAACTCCCGTTCTTTGACCCACTTGGAATGACGCCCGAATATGCGCATATAAATAATTATGTTAACGTCCCGATTACTATGATTAATTCGTGCTCTCCTACAACCGAAAATGTAACGTCACGTACAATGTGATCTATCACTGTTTGACACTTGAATGTTTGTCCTTGACACCTTGATTATACTCTGTAACACTGTAATCGAAAACTGTCAAACACTTAACCAACAAACGACCGCGTCTCCACACTGCGTCTTGGAACACATAAATTCTTGTGCGCTTCTTGTCTGTCTTGTCGCCCGTTCTTTGTCATTCATGCGCACTCGAAGCGGACAGGGCTGCGGACATTCAACGGGAGAACATGAAGAAGAAGCGACGTGAAATGGAACAGGTCAGCCTAGATGCGGCGTCTGATCTACTGGACACCGATAGCAACGCCACCTTCGCAATGGTACATGACGTTTAGGGGCTGTAAATCGCCATGAGTAACTTTGCTTTCATTTGTAGAAACCCCTGGTACGTCACCCGGGTGATCCCATGGCCATGGATAAGCTACGGCAGTGCGAGGTGCACATGCAACCCCCCAAGAGGCCCAACTGCTGCAGAACATGGTGGTCCAGGTTCCCAACAAGGTAGGTCAAGCACGATCCAAGCATGCCATGAAAATTCTACCCACACAAACTCGTAACTAGATGTGTACTACTGTAAACAAACTATTAAATGTTACATTTTTTGACATTTTGTTGATCAGAGCGCTGTCAAAGCTCAAAAGCACTCCTCGATACAATGACAACAACTTCAGGTTTAGCAAACAACTCTCCAACAGCACTCTTTGCTCATCTCACAACAAACCAATGAACACAATGTCAAAAATCTACTCGCTTTTACTCCTGTCACTTTCGCATTCTTCATTTTCTTTTCTACACTAGGATTAAGAACGCAAAACACTATTTTCCCATTCAAAGTCTAAATTAAATTGATTTTTGTTGTTATTCCACCCTACCCTTCGGCAATGGCACTAGCCCACTTAAGAAGGTCCCATGCTTCGGAAGGGGGTAATTATATGAATTGTAACATAAGTTTTTCTTCCCGAATTTCGTTGCATAGCTCAAACTCTTAGTCAAACAGATCAGCCAAATCTAGTCTAGATTTTTCCTCCTTCACTTTGCTCAATACAAAACAAAACTCTAACGATTGGCAAGCCTACTACAAACATAGTTGACAGCTTACAATACGCTACCGTAACAAGTTTTCTTTTTCGTTTATGAACACACTAGATATTGGTACTTTTCTTAGTTAGAGAACAAAAATCATTTAGAACCATAAAATAATCATATCGACTAAAAAGGAGCAAATCCGAATCCCACCAACCGATCCTAATCATTTGTACAAAATAAAAACGAAACAACGATCATCTCACCACCCTTCACCATACGAGTACGAGTGTGTAAAAGTAACCAAAACCCCCTACCCACTTTAATAGCAATTGAACGAATGAGAGCTACCTAGTTGCACAAAAATCAATTTAATACGAGTATAAATTGAACGGTTTGTTTTTTCTCCTAATTGAATTGATTTATGACCCTTCAGTAACACATCACACACGCACACATCCGCACAGTTTCACAGCTACTTACACGCACACAGCTCACAGATATACTAAAAGCAGTACGATGAGTACGCGCCCAATTGCTTCGATGGCTGATACACCTTAGAAGTTATAGCTACGACGTTTTTTTCACTCTCCTCTTTCGATTACTCAGTTTAGTGTTGATTTTTGGTTCGATTTTGAAGTTTTCTAGTTGGATTTGAACCTTTTCTCTAGGCATATGTCTACTTAGTTTTTATTTTTAGTACTTTCATAATTCCCCAAACAAAGCGAAACTGATTCTGAGGATAATTCATTGGAATAAAATTTGCATCAGAGCATGCCAAGACGAAAAAAAAAATATCGGTTACCTAAAATTCTAGCGTACAGAATCATAAGGGGCTGCCAAGGGGTGATCACTCTACACACTTGTTTTGCGGCAACTTTTTTTTTTTTGCGTACCTCAGTGTGCCGCAGCGGGCACGGCAGTGCCAAGAAGTAATTGAACTGACTTTTGTTTGCTTGTGAATAACGAATTGTTTGGACGAAAGTCGATTTTGAAGAATCACTGGTGGAGATTCACGGTTGTGGTTTGTAAATTGTATTTTGGCAACATTAATAACAAATTCTGACACATGCACACTGCGCAGGCGCAGAAAAAGTTCAGTGTTGCCAGTAACTTTAAAGATCATAAATATTGTAACCATGGGTGCCAAACAGCGCCAATGAATGCACCTGGATGTGCCCAAATTTGATTTTGGCACACTGTGTAGAGTGACCAACTCCTTGGGGCCTGCCTAAAGGCCCAAGCGCAACGACAGCGGAAGCGGAATGGCAGTGGCAGAGTAAAAGCTCGATTTAAGTAAGCCTACTTGTCGGATTGAAAACTAGTTAGAACCAAATCGACTTCGGTTAGGCTTTTTGATGTCATTTGTGACAACTGTCAAACTTTCCGTTTCCGTTCCGCTTCCGCCCACATTGCGCTTGGGCCTTAACGATTACCATATAGGTAACTCTAATACCAGAAGGTCCCGAAGAAACGTGCTCAACTTTTTGGCTCAGCTCTGGTACTAGCTTCGGTTCCAAGCTAATCGATGCACCCCTCGAAACATAGGAAAATCCACGAACTTTCATAGCGAAACAAAACAAACATAGTGTAGTACTAGAATGTCAACTAGAATGCGATACGTAAATTGATTTGCTTGGGACCCATAGGCTAGTCAAGTAGTGAGCCAATTTTAAATCGTTAGTTTCAACAGGTTGGTAATACTACGTTCACACTACAGTCTATATTACGTGATATACAGGGTGAGTGATAATTCCTGTCAGTAACGTATATGGTTATAAAAATGAGAAACTGGAATGAATTTCAATTTTCAACGTATGTCCTGTTAGGTATATCTATAACAATTGTCTTGACTTAGTGCAGTGCAAATCTTTCTCCCTTTCCCTTAATTACCAGCCACATCCGTCTTTGAAAAGCGTTACAGCTGGCACGCACGATATCGTGAGGCATTTTGTTCTAGTTTGCCTAGCATGTAGCCCCATCCATAGAAGTTGACTGGATATAAATCGGGTGAAGAGGCAAGCCACTCTTTCGACGAAATAAAATCCGGAAAATTGACCTCATGTCAAGTCTGTGTACTTTTTGCCTGGTGTGAGACAGTGCAGAGCAGGGGTTGAAACAGTTGACGTTTTTTACTACACTCGCTTCATTGTCGTGCGCGACAGTCTGTTTGTATTCGAACACTCATGCTCTACCGTCGTCTCTCTCACACAATACGAGCGGTAGAATAACATTCGAGCTAAAAGAAAATTATCAAAATAGCTATCATATGACATGTGTGATTTCGTTGTAATTCCTCAATTTGGTGTAAATCAAACCATTTCTGATCAGAAATATTATTACTAGGACATCATCGCTTGCTATTTTCAGAATGCACACAAGCACACCATCAGCAGCTCTTATTATGAGAAAAACTAAAATACATACATTCGTGACGGTCTTCGGCGGCAGTGTCGTATGACAGAGCCTTTTATATGACATTTGAGTTTGGTACTGTACTATGATAGCTTGTTTTGCTAGTGGCGGAGGCAAAGGCAGTCAATTATCACAGAAAATATGTCGACTACCGTGACCGCTTACAAGACTGGTGCAGAGTCTTATTAGAAGTATGGTGCATTCTTGAAGTGTTTATTGATGAAGGCAGGGCTGGAAAGCACCTCAGAGCGTTAACAAAGTAACATTGTGCATACATCTCACAACACTCGACAAAGAGTGTGTGGTTCTCACATTTGCTTCACACACTCTTTTCTAACTAATCTGTGAGAAAGCGATCCACACAATGAGCGGTACACTCCGTGCGGCGCAGGGAGCGAATATAATACAACAAGCGGTAATGTCTTCTTTGAGTTCTTTGCAGACTTTGCTTACCACGACTGCATGCATAGGAGGTGAAGAAGGGCATAACAAAGAATAATTTTGTCTTTTTGTTGGGTTTCCCATTTGCAACCCTACACTGAGTGGCGCTCTTTGCGTCGGAGCCGTCGGAGCGATGGCTACACATTGAGCTTTCGTTATTTCTGGGTGTGTGTATGTCTTCTCTTCTCCGCTGCTTTACACTTGCGCAGGGTGAAAGACAAGCAAACTTTGTGTTTGCTTGATTCTCACTTTGTATATTTCAGAAAATCTGTACATTGCGCGCATTGAGTGATCAGATTACAGCCCTGGATGAAGGGAAGCAAATGATTCTTCAAAACATTATCTATCTACTATTTACTGTTGATTTTAACCCTGCAAACATTCTGGAACGTTTGAACTGCTAGTTTGTCACAAGGAATATCATTTTGCTGGTTGTGATGATCATGTAGCAGGAACATTTGCTCGTCCGAAAACAGAAATTCACTATCACCGTGCCGAAAACAGGCAATAAATACACTCTAAATGAAAAATATGCAGACATGTATGTGATTAACCCATCCGAAACTACAAGTGTTTAAAAACACTGACAGGAGTTGCCACTCTGTAGACCTCCTTAAGTACCAGAAGGTCCCGGAGAACCGTGCTTAACATTTTGGCTCAGCTCTGGTACTCTCTTCAGTCCCAAGCTAATCAATGCACCCCTCGAAACATAAGAAAATCCACGAACCCCTCGGTTTGTGTAACGTCATTTATATGTATAACTACCAACAATCAATACGAAACTAACGATTTTAAATTGGCTCACCACTTTAGTAGCCTATTGGTCCCAAGCAAACGATTAACGTACCCTATTCTAGTTGAAATTCTATTACTACACTATGTTTGTTTTGATTCGCTATGAAAGTTTGACAGATAACATCAGGGGTGTGTGGATTCATGCAGAACATGCAGGGGTGAGTGAAATAGCTTGGGACTGCTTGGGACCGTTGTTCTGGTACTGAGTGAGCCAAAAATAATAATGATTTTCTTCGGGACCCAGTGGTCTTAGAGTTACCTCTATGTAACTACCCTACCAGCTGTAACGTGCAATACAAATAAACAATACAACAGTGCATTATATTCCTCCGCCATGGCAGGATCCATAATTCTATCCGTTTTCGTAATTATACAATCAACACAACGTAGGGATCCCATCCGTGCGCAATCACTCTCATTTTATCTGTCAAACTTACATAGCGAATCAAAACAAACATAGTGTAGTACTAGAATTTCGACTATAATGGCAACAATCAATACGAAACTAACGATTTAAAATTGACTCACTACTTTTTTAACCTATTGGTCCCAAGCAAATCGACTAACGTACCCCATTCTAGTATAAATTCCAGTACTACACTATGTTTGTTTTGATTCGCTATGAAAGTTTGACAGATAAAATGAGGGGTTAGTGGATTTTCCTATGTTTCGAGGGGTGAATCGATTAGCTTGGGACCGAAGATAGTACCAGAGCTGAGCCAAAAAGTTGAGCTCGTTTCTTCAGGACCTTCTGGTCTTAGAGTTACCTCTATGATAATGGGGTTAGTTCATCGATGTGCTTGGGACCGATAGGCTAGTCCAGTGTGAGCCAATTTAAAATCATCGTCATCCATTGCGCCATTCCTAAAATCGAAACATGGATTAAAATACAGTAGTTGGTAATAATTTACCTATGATCAATTGCTTGAAGTTATTCGACAGCCACCAATCTCGTACTTATTACACACAAAGAAAAATCGTTGCTAAAATTTAAAAAAAAACACATTGTTATAATTAAAAGTTTGCATTGGTTCTTTTTGGTAGAGAGCAGTTAGCTTTCAAAACGAAAGGCAATCAACTGTCAATTCAAAAGTTTTCCGGCCATTAATTTTAAAAGTTTAAACTTTCAAAACGAATTGTACTACCATACTCTAAGACTAGAAGGTCCCGAAATAACGTGCTCAACTTTTTGGCTTAGCTCTGGTACTCTCTTCGGTCGCAAGCTAATCGATTCACCCCTCGAAACATAG